CATCTGCGTCTCGCGCCCTTGGTGAAGTTCAATAATTGCTTCGCATCTTTGATGAGCACAGTGCCCTTGGTTTCAGTCTGCGAGATGTCGATCGGGCATGAGAAGACTCCAACCTTCGCCTTGGTGGCCTTCTTAACAGTGCCATCGGGCTCTCGTCCAAAAACCATGCCCTTCACAACCTTGCTCTGCTCCAGCGATCCGCCCATAATCTTAACCACTCTCACGTTGTCCACGTTGAAGTTGTAAGGATTCTTGGGCAGAACAGCAAGAACGGCCTCAGCAACCATATCTGCCAAAACCTCTTCACTTCCGCTCTGCTTGGCTGCAACGACTGTCTTGATAGCTTTTGCCAATTCTGCTTGATCTCTGATGTCCTCAACCTTGTCGATTTCCAGCTCTTCCAGTGCCTCAAGTGCGAACTTGCCTGCTCTCTCATAGCCTTGCACGATTTCGCTAGTCTTGAGTCCCATTCTTAGCAGCTCTTCCGCTTTCTTGAGCAGCTCGCCTGCGAAGACAATGACCATATTTGTGGCGTCTCCCATCTCTGCCTCTTGCTGTTGCGATGCCATGACTAAAAGCTTTGCGGCAGGATGTACGACTTCGAGCTCGCGCAATATTGTGGCCGCATCGTTGGTAAGAATCATCTTCTGCAGGTGGTTGATGACGATCTTGTTGCGGCCATATGGGCCAAGCGATGTCTGAACGGTCGAGGCGATTTGCCGGCATGCATCGATGTTGCGAATGACCGCGCCATCCTCGGCGTCGTAGCTGTGAAAGACATCAGTAAGTCGTGTGTTTTCTGTGGCATGGAATTCATGGCGTACTTCTGATATCCCGGTTTGAACAAACCCTGGTTGGGGGCGTTGGGTATTGAAAGCGACATATCGGTCGGTCACTGTATATCAAATGCCAGGCGAAAGGGTGAAGAAGCGCAGCGCAGCGTAGGTTTGGAGTGACACGACACGTACTTATGCTATGCTCCAGATGTTCTTGCGTCGGATCGGACGCGATTTCGAAAACGCGGTCGGCCCGGAGAGGCTGAACTCTATTTGGGCAAGCTCCATCAAATCTCTAATCAATTCAATCCAGCCTCCATTTCGTCTCGTTCATCACCATGTCTATCCACCTCCATTGTACCGGTAGCCATTGTGAATGTGTATTTCTACTTCCACCACATGTGTTGTGATCTATAATATCAGCTATGTTGGTTACGAAGCGGGGTAGCCGCGCAGAGTATAAACTTGGAAAAGTCACAATGCAGTCTCTTGAAATCATGGATAGAATATCGACACAGGCCGTCAATGCATCATTGCACGATGCTTTGCTGTGCTGTACACATCCCACATGTAATCAGTAACGCCATCGCTATGCCACTTCCATCTGTTGTTCCGCCTCCATCGCTCATCCTTGCAGCAGACTGGACCGCTGTGTGGAGTGCTGTCCAGGTGTTTCTCCTACCCTCCCCACTCTCTTTACTCTGTCTTTTAATGCAGCCCTTGCTCTTGCTCGCCTGATACAAACTTTTCCCTGCCTTTTGGACATTATTGAATCGCCACGACGCCGTGCCTGCCTTCTTGCAACGTTTCGAATCGTTCTAATCAGACGTTCGCCCAACTTCTTCGTTTCCAGTCTCTGGGACATGCGCCTCTCTATGCAGCGGAGTCTCATGCTCCTCAGCACGTGAACGAAGCCCAGGTCCTGCCCAGCCCGACTTGGATCAACGTGAGGATTGCTAAAGTCGGCCCGAGCTGCCTTCAGCGAAGCAAGAAACCTTCGATCGATCCGCATGTCCTGGGAAAGTACCCGACGTACGACCCACCGCACACCGTGTTTATGCTGGAGTGCTGCGTAGCCTTTGACGTAGACTGTCATGGCCACAATATTGAGAGGCCGATGTCTTGTCCACTCAGACTGGTAAATGGCATTGAGCAGGTTAATTCCATGTTCAGCACGGTTGTTGTTGATGAGGGTATTAGCTGCCGTGACTCCAACATGATGTCCAACATCCCAGCCATTTTCATCATTCATGCGATAGTAATCGATGACCTTTCGTCGTAGAGCTTCCGCATCTTTCCTGCATGCAGGAGATGAATGATGCATTTTGTGAATCAATAGTGAACCCATTGCACAACTCACGTCAAATCCAGCCTGTCGTGCTTCGTGGAGGAGTTGCTCGGCTCCGGCAGCATCGCCCTTGTCCAAGCGGATACGGGCTTCTACAGCGATTTCCAATGTCCGAGGTGAGGCTGGTAATCCATTCGAGCTTGACGACGCATAGAGATCAAGAACCTTCTGGTATCTCTGCATTGACATTTCTACGACCATTTGCTGGGCAGCGATCCGTGTATGAAACGAGCTATCGTAACGTGTGGAGCTCACTTTCCCGTTGTCTCCGATGACACCATGATTTGCAATTTCAGGAAGTGCCTCGTCACGCTCTGCCTCGTCACGCTCTGCAAAGAAGCGCCGCAACTCGTGGAGGTCCCTGATCGCAAGTGCCGACGCAGCAGTATCAGTGGCATGGAGCCCTTTATCAGCGGCTAGGCTGGTAGGCAGCGGGTCGCCACTGTGAATATCATCCGCATTAGATACGTCACGCATTACAGCTTGTGCGCGACGAGTCAGCTTCTCCACAAACCGCTGCCCATGCCTTGTGGTTTCTCCCTCCAGACGGGCGTAATCTACCTCAGTTGCCGGTCTCGGTATGGCACCTTGAAATTGCTCGACTTTCTCTAAATTCTCGACGGCGAGATAGAACTTCATGCGCTTATTCTGGGCATCGAGTTCTCTGATGTCAAAAGAAATTGCTGCGCGTATTACGTACTTGAAGTCCGCAGCAGTAAATGAGACGCCGTCAAAGGCACAGAGAGCTCTGCAAAACCACATGAGCAGCACATGCGGAGGTCGTCGCTCACGCCAGAACGCGAACAAGAGTGATGCAGCGAGGCGACTGTCCAGATCGAACTTGAGGCCGACTTGCTGCAGATAAGTGTCCCATTTCGCCACGAGATCAAGTTTCCCGCTAGCAACGAAGCAGCGGAGTAATGTCTTATTCGTTGTCGAATCCGGGATGAATCCGAGTAGGCGCATCATGGAAGTTACGAAAGTCCAGCTTTCCGCTGCTGAGTGCTGCTTGCTATACAGATGGATCACATAATTGAGGCGAGCGTTGATATCGTGGTCGGTGATGGTGGATTGTGAGGCTGAGCTCTCCTGCAAGATATTCTGGACTTCTTCCCAGGAGGATTTCTCAGCAAGGATGATAGCTGCCAGGGAAAGTGCGTCCTTGTCGCTATGCTGACTGTTACTACCAGACCGAAGTAAAGAAAGAGCGCGATCGGGTTGCTTTGCGAGTGTACAGATCTCGACCATCGTAGCAGTGCCTGGAACGATAGCATCTGCATGGCTAAAGATCTCAAACTTGCGAGGGTATGCTTCGTACAGATTAAATACCTGGTCGAGGTTGCGCGTGGCCTCCCACACTCTCTTCAGTCGTATGGCGAGATAACCCTCGTCAATCTGTCTTTGCGACACAGGGTCGACAGACTCTCGCAAGGCACGAAACCGCTCGCCAGCGTGTCGCCGAGAAGAGGCAGAAGCGATGGCTAGATGAACCCGTGCTTGAGTTTCGAGCTTCAGAAGCAGACTGTCCCTCGGAGCCCCTCGACTAGGAGCAAAGAACAAAGCTCGCAGATTGGCATACGCTTTCTTTCTGCCGCATTCAATGGCTATGGAGCTGCATTGTTGCAAGAGTAAGGGGTCATCCTGGAAAGAGTAGAGAGAATCACCCCCAGCAATGCGTAGGTTCTGATCAGCGGTGAGGATGGCACTATATTTGCATTTCAGCAGTTCGATGCCAGCCACGATTTCTCCATTCTCGAGTGCATGTGACAACACCATATTGTGAGTTTCCAGGAAGATAGCCTTGCTGTGTGTGGAGATGGAGGACAGCACGAATGCTGCTTCCTTGCATTGACCATTCGCAATCATCTTGTCGCAAATCTCAACCAAAGGTTGTTCCAATGCATCCGTAGGTATGTTGCTGATCCCAAAGCCCTTGACCAAGTCCATTTGCGATTTGTCAGCCACTGTCGACCACGCCGATATCACCTCGACTAATGCAGCAGCACGAATGTCGGCACTACACTCCAGAAAGGCCGGGCTGTTAAAGAGGTGCTTGTAGAATTCAAACCAGGACTCTGGCGTACCCTTGCTCCGCAGAAGAGCCTTGGATGTCTCGCATATTCGGCGGACATCCTTTTCAGACAGCTGTGAATTCAAAGCTTTCCAGAGAGACAGCGAGCGGACCTCAGCGAATAATCTATGGTGAAGGGCGGCGAGTAGCAAGACGTCAGCAGCCTGGGCTTTTCGACTCCGGTTTTGTGAGCGATGTGCGGCTTCTCGCGTGAGATGCATGAAGAAGTCATCAACATCGCGTTTGACAATGTCTGGTCTCGGGCAAATATTGCCTTTCCGGTAGCTCGCAAAGCGAAATGTCGATTGGGGTATTGCTGGAATCTTGTCACTGTGGTGTGTTTCTTGAGCAGAACGGGATGCCTGAAGGGGCCTCTCATACGAACGAACGATATCGTTCGAATGCGCAATGGCATCTTCCCGGACTCTGAGAAGCACGTTGCTCCGCAGTGCCACGTTGGCTTTGGGATAATTAGCCGCCGCACCGTTTGCAGCGAAGTCATGATCTGGCTCGGAGCTGCTCTTCTCGTTGCGCCGCCTCTTGCGTCCTCGGCGCTTGTTCACGAGCTGCTCATAGCCATTCTGCACGGCGGAGGGCAAGTCAGAGGCATGCGCACCGCGATGATCTGTGCAATGTCGGGAGCGCTCTCCGAGCATGCCTGCCATGGCTGAGTCCTGCTCAGGGGCTGCATACTGGCTGCTGTCCTCATCAGGGCCGACGTGCTGAAAGCGGTATTCTGTGTCATTCACAGCGAGGGCAGCGGTGGAATGGCGTCTGTATCGCGGACTCTGGCGTATGCGCTTCGCATTGTCTGCTATCTTCTGAACAACAGCGGTCTGGCGTCTCCTCTCCTCTGTGCAAAGGGTGGCAATGCCGGCGGCGGTACCGGAAGAAATGTATGCGAGCTGGTAGAGGACGCGTAGGGTGGCCTTGGAAGGCACGGGTCGTGATCGTGATGCCTTGAACATTGCAGCGCCATGGTGAGAGACCCTCACCGGCGATGCATGCAGGCGGAAAGCGCAAGCGGTGTGCAGGACGGTGAGTGTGACTACTGTGGGATGCGAGCGCTGGGCTGGGTTCTGGTTCTGGTTCTGGCTCTGGTCTCGGTGGTGAGCCTTCGAGGTCCGCAATGCAGTGCAGCGGTCGGCCGACTGTCCGCCGTTGCCGTTGCCGTTGCCTTTGCCGTGCCGTGCCGTGACGTGCCGTGCCGTGCCGTGCCGTGCCGTTGCCCAGCAAGCTTTGAAGCTTTGGAAGCTCTTCCACAGGCCAGGCTTCAAATGCGCCCAGCAGCGCCAATGCTACAACAAACCCTCAGGCGCTCACTGCGCACCGTCTGCGCCTCCGCCTCCGTCTCACAAGTTGGACTTCGACGTCTTCCAACATGTGAATCGTGTCAATGCCGTTGTGGCGCGATATTCGCTACATCTCGAAGAGAATTTCAGACACTTCGCAAAGCTCCTTCAACACGAGACCGTCAACGCAACGCGAGAAATGACCTGGCATCCGGGTTCGGCGCCGATCGCCAATGGATGAAGCGGACGCTGAATCAGCTGTACGCCAATGGCTCGATCAATAAGCCCCCCGACGATGTCCTGGCCTTCATTGCCCGCTTCAATCGACTGGTCACAGCCGCCAGAGGCAGCGTCACCCCTGACCCAAAGGACATTCGCGATCTCTTGCACGAACATGCGATCTATGGTGACGACGCCATGGTAATCCCACGCGTACTGATTGCAGACAGGACTCCGGAAAATCTATATCTTGGCAAGAAGCTGATGCTCAGCCTGTCAAGAGTTGGTAACATTGAAGCTTCTATCAGGATTATGGCCGATGCCATCTACACTTCGAAAAAGAACCCACATGCTCTGCAGTCCAGAGAGATCATGTTCGCCAAAGAACACCTGAGGATCGCAGCAAATGAGAAGCTCAACTATCGTGCTATGGTGTGCGAGGGCAAGGTTGCACATGCTTTGGGCGACGAAGAGCGAGCCATACAAATGTGGACTGATGCCATCAGCGCGGCCGTGGCTGCCGCCGAGGAACGTGAGCCGAGGGAAAGGCAGGCGGGTGTTCCAAGTGCGCTTATGGCACGCGTCCAACGAGATCCTCTGGAGTTGTCAACGCCGTGGATTGAGTTGATGTTGATTCATTGGCAGCGGACTAGAATTAAGGGCTTGGATGAAATGGCTCAATGCGAATGGGCCATGAATATTGGTTGTGAGCAGGACGATCCGACCTCCCATTACTACGCATCCACCTTCGTGAAACGGCTCGACAGCGAAGGCGGCCATGTTGGTACAAGCGAATGGTTGTATCATGTCACGAAAGCTGCTTCGTCGGGCCACCCAAAGGCTGCCTATGAGCTTGCTGTCTTCTATGCCGAAAGTGGCTGGAAATATATCGAAGATGAGCCTCCCGATCATGTCAAGCCAACTCCGTTCGACTCCTACCCAAGCAATTCAGCAACATTTCTGGATTCAGTGCTTTCATTTCTTGGGCTGAAGACACGAGAAAAGGCACGGCCACAGGAAAGCATCTTCCACAGTGCCATGTTCCCGTCCACGGCGGCTGCCAGACATGAAATCGCATACAACTGGCTCGATGTTGCGATTGGATACTGCTATGCTCCTGCATATCTCTTTCGTGCTCGTATGCTGCTAGCGAAGAACTTGTGGGCGGGTGCCGATGCTCCCGATGCCGCTCTCAGTCTCAATCGAAGTCGTTACACTTATGCCTCAAAAGAGGATTACCACGCCGGAGAAACAGCATCGAACAACGGACAAAGCTCAAAGGCGGACGTCGCTGATCCTCCAAACCCGTTTCGAAACGAGGAATCAGCAAAGGCTTTTTTGAGAGAGGTCTTTTATGCCCATGAAGCAAATGATTATGCTAGCCAAGCACGTCGAGCATATGCAAACTCACGACGTTCTAGACAGTGGCAAGGAGAGGAGGAAATCCTCGATGAGTACTTTTGGCGCAAATATGGACCTGACGTCCAAAAGTTCTTTCGCTTTCCTGAAATCCGAGAGATGTACGAAGACCAAATCGAAAGTCTGTACGAACAAGCGAAGGAGCTGTGTGACCAGCATCAATTCGACATATACGACAAGGAGAATGCTTTGATCTACAAAGCGGGTACTGGAAAGAAGCGAAAGAGTAAGACTGTCCACAGTGCCTCGTTTTGATCGCTGTGAATATTTTCAGGCTAATTGCATGTGCTTCTGGAATGACACTTGGTCGCCATCGACCATCGAGGCGGGAGATCAGACCGACACCAGTTCCACAGCCCTCGTGGCTTGTCGAACACGCCCTAGATTGGAGCGCTCGAGTCGTGGTTGAAACACTTACACCGGTGGAGGGCCCAGCATTGTCCTAACGAATGGTTCACGCTCTATGGGTAGTCCTTCCGGATTGACGTTGCGGCCGTGCTTGTTGTGGGAACCTGTCCTTGTTTGCTCGTTGCACACAACATAACCTGTGTTGCCCGAAGACTTCTTTTGCTTGGTCTGTGCATAGGCACAGCACGCTACTTCTGCCACCTGCGCACCTCGATTTGGCGAAACCCCATGAGAGTCATAAGTACCCACCGCCAGATCAATGTTTGTCCTGCACGCAGATTCAGCCAACGAACAACGTCTGAATCGAAATGAAGTCAGTATCCATCCTTCATTGATCTTTGACCGTATGTACTCGACTACATCACTACCAGCCACCTTCACGACAGCTCAGCAGCCCTGCGAAAGGTTCCGGATGAATCATGCCGCATCATGGCCTGGCGCCTGACAAGGCTGCGGCTCGCTGTACATCCACATTATGGTGGGAGGGAACGAATTGTGTGTGGGTTCAGATACTATCGACTCAAGATAAGCACAGGACAGCGTCTCCCGCATCGAGTGCTGCTCACCGGTCCTGCTGCAGCTGTCGGCTGTCAGTGTAGATGCCTCCGCTCATCGCATTGCCACATGCCAGGTCAAACCGTACCGAGGGCATTCAATGATCTATAAAACAGCGACTTTCATGCCATCTCTGGCGTTTGAGAATAAGTACCACACCACAAGTCTTCCACTGTCTCTCCTCCAAAACAGCCGTGATGTCACGAGGCATTGCAATCAGTACTGTCGCCGTGCACTCTGGTCTCTACTCCCTACAACAAGCAGCTGTCCTGCAGTCGAACCTATCAGCAAGAGGAGCTTCCACGATCACGCTGTTCGAGACTGGGTGCGATTTCCGCGATGAAAACGATGTCACTCACAGAAATTGCACCCAAGCTTGCACACAGCCGGCGATTGTGTGGAAGAATCCTTTCACAATCCATAACTGCTTGGTCTATAGCACGGTCTCAGGCCTAATCGCCAAGAACAACTTGACAGCAGACGGGCAACGACAAGCTGCCGACCTAGGCTACTTGCCAAATTTCAATCTTGCCTTGATCGAGGACCCTGCGAATGAGTGTATGCACAGCTTCTGCCTCAACCAGCGGCACGCCGATCCGTCAATACATTGCTCAGGTGCTTCGATCAACACGACATACTTCAGCAATGCAACGAAGGGAGAAGTCCATAATCTACTTACCGATGCATTCGTCCAAAATGCGTGTGGCTCGTTCAAGGCAAGTCCGAACGTCGACGTCGGCGGCATCGGGGTCTATATCGGCTATCTCATGCAGCTCTCCATCTTGATTTACTGCTGGATTCATGGACGCCTAATTTCGAGCTGGCTGAAGTCTTTCACATTTGTCGTTTGCGCGCCCTTTGGCCTCAAGAGAGCCAGACAACGCGCCCATCGAGTGAGGATGAGATTGAAACAGTCTCATCAGGGCGCGGCGCTCGTTTCGGGTCTCTTCGAATTCCAGCAAGCGCAGAGCTACTTTGCTCTCACGCTCAATGGCGCTGCTATAGGAGCGCTGTGCAGCAATGGTGCCATGTTCGACGTGCAAAGTCTTCAACAAATGCGTCTCACCGTTGACTTACTCGGCGACGTCGCAGCTACAGCCATCATCTGCCTGACGTTCGGACTATACATGCTTCACGCCGAAGGCAAGAGGACGTGGTATGTTACCTTCCTCTCACTTATTGCCATACTGGTATCATTTGCAACCTGGATCCTCACCTGCCTGCCGCTGAGAAACTTGCACCAAATCAATCCAACAGGATTCGAACTTCCAGCCTGCGGAAACCGATCTCCAGCGGCATTTTGTCTGGACCAAACTAGATCCAAATCCATCACTTCTGGAGCAGTCTGCATTGCAATCTGCATGCTGACGACAATTCTCATGATGGTTCGACAATTAAAGACTCACCCATTCCCATCACCGCGGACGAGTATTGCCTCACCGCCATCCCTTCGACGAACCTCAACGCACGCCACGACCTCTTCGAGAGCTCGGCAACTCTTGCAACAACAGACAGCCGTGGTCTATGGCTGGCGACTAGAGATTGCTGAACTCATCCTCGCAAGCATGACTATCGTGATGCTAGTCCAGCTGATCATGAATGGCGACATGATTGCTATGCGAGAACAGGTGCAATGGACGTTCGCGCAGTTGATCGCCGTGACCATCTGGGCCCCTAGTATCATCGAATACCTCTACGCCGCTGTCAGGAGATGGAGTCTGACAGGGAATAAAGACGTTGTTGAGAGAATTGGAAGTTTAGGTCGGAGGGTAACTGTTGATGAAGGTGTGCAAGTCGACTTTGGAGGGTATGCGTTTGATGGAAGAGAAGACGAGTCCGCTGCTGATGGAGACGAAGCAAAGGGTTCAAGGGAGAACATCGGTGACAAGAGGAAGGTAGTTGAAGACACGCTCTCGTCGATGCCAGCACCCGAACAGATGGTTTGATGCAGGGTTCTACATCACCGCAAGACCAGCAATGTCTGTGGTACAAGCTTGGGGGAGAGCCAGTGTCCCAAAACACAATGGTCGGAGGCGCTAATGTTTAGCTTCACTCCACTTCACATAACTCCAGACCAAACGAGATGGGCACTCGCTGCGATAGTCAACTCCACGCACTCTGCGACTCCGTAATCCTGGAGTCGCCGATGGTGAATGCTATGGCGCATCTTTCCCGGAGGTGTGCTCTTGACGTGTAGTTCACACGCATTCCACTCTCCCGACTCTGCCCCTGTAACAGCCATCGGGGCATTGCAGTCGCAACTTTGCGACTGCCAAAGACGAGTCGAGCCCAGAAGCAGAGGTGGCAATATGCATTATTGCGAGCGCTGAATTGTTCACCTTACTGTCTTCCCAATGGATTCACTCCTGCCATATAAAGAGCAATGGTCGCTGCATTTTCGATGACAAGACCACAGCTTTGTCATCGTTTGCAATGTCGTCTGCTTTGAGCCCCTTCCTAGATCGAGCCTTTCTTTGTTTGAGCCTTTAAACCAAGAGCTCACAATGCGGTCCCACTGCACAGTGAGCTCTTCCGGATGCGTCGAATACACAAAGAGATGTTCGCTGTATACAGATAGCAGTATGCAGAAGCTTTTCGCCGGGGGCAACTTTACTGGCGAAGACGCTATGGCAGCAGCACCGGTGATACCTCACGATCGACCTTACCATGCGACATACCTTCCTGCACATCCTTGGCTGGCAACATTGGCACATCGAGCATGCACAGCAGCCACGTTTGCCAGATGCGAGCGGAAACATCCCGTGCCTGGTATATCTGGTCAATCCCGTCATCGAAACCGGACAGTCTGTCGATCATGCCTGATTCACACATTGAGGATATTAGGACTTGGAAGCCCCGGCGGTCCCATTCCAGGCATTCCTGTGAACGCGGATCGCCATAGACGATATCTGCACGGAGGCGTGGCGGCGAGAGCTCCACCAGTAGTGGTTCAAGGCGCTCTAGCACCTCCAGGTGCTTTGAATGGTTTCTTGTCGCCCTTGTGTCCTGAGTGCGAACACGACGCATTGAGCCTAGCATTTTGGCACGGCGGACACACGTTGTTTCCAGGAACCAATCCTCGTCCTGTTGGTTCCATCCCACTTCAACAGCCGCAATCATTCACAATTACTCGCTATCGGTGGCCCATGAGCACATGTACGTGTATCCATACTGCTGGAATGGTCCCTAGGCCTGCGGCAGCGGCGCTCAATTCCTTTGCAACACCACCAGCAGGCCTATTCGCACGCGACTTGAACGAAGACTTATGCCTTCTCCATCGACGCTCAGAATTGGAAAAGCTCTGGCAGAGACGAAATGCGAACGAAGAGTGGTTGAGAAGAATCACAAGAGATCCGCGCACGGGACAAGCAAAGTGGGCGTCACAGGCCGAAATCAATAGACGACAGGCCGATCTTACCTATAGAGCGTGTAGGTGTGGACGAGACTGGTTGCCTCAATTCGGCCCCGCTGGCCCTGTTCCCCCGGGAGGTTTACCTCCGGCGCTTCTTTGTATGGGGTGAGCTATGCATCATCCTCGCACAAGATGGAACAATGGCTAACATGTATTAGGTGTGAAGGGTATGTGATCGATTTCGCGGGCCCATGTATGGTGATGGAAAAAGTACCAAATTCACCCGTTCTGCAACTTGTGCCCTGGGATTGGGACCGCCGTGTCATCGGCTACGATCGCCAGACCGACCCTCAATATAACCCAATCCCACCGGAAAAGATCAGATGGGAGAAGTACCCTTTGCGCAGGCAGACGACTACCTAGGCAGGCATTAATTCTATAGAATCATGTATCCTTGTAACCAGGAGCAAAATTCATAATCTAATTTCGAGCCTAGCACGGCGCTATTGATCCGAGTTCGCCAGCAGGTGAAATGCATAACAGGACTTCACACGCTGTTTCTAGTCTGGCACTCCTGCTACTGAAGCGCAAGTGGCGGGTAGGTTGTCTTCTTTGTCGTCCTTATGATACTGATATTCATGCGAGTCAAAATGTTCAAATAGTCGCATTGAAAACAGTTGCTATGTACATCACTCCCATCCCGATCAGTCGCTGTGGGATGGACTAGGTATCCGTTGTATCCGTTTGTCGGCGCATTCGTGTATGCGCTTGAGATTAGATATGGAGTACGGCATGCGTGGACAGGGTGATTGTGCATGTATCACCAATTCCCTTCTTTGCGTCTATGAGAAGGTACATGTAGTCCGTAATCTGATCCGAGTGCTCTCCAAGTATTCAGGCCGAGTCCGTTCCATCCCCAGTGACTCGTTTACAACAGTATGGTCCTCCAAGATCAACTCTCAATTACGCGAGCATTCTCTATTTCATCCATCACTTCCCGGTAATGCTTCTCACTAGCACGTGCCCAGCCCTCACGAGTGTTCTGAAAACGCGGGTTCTCGAACTTCTGTGACTCCTTCAGAGCTTCAATATGCCCTTGCATCTCCGGTCGATTAGCGAGAGGATTTGTGCACTCTCTGAAATTGTACCGACTGAAAAGTAGGTAGATTTGCTCGGATTGCGACACTCCAGGAGCTTGAGGATCGAGTCGAATACCATTGCGTGCCACTACAAACTGTCCAAGAGCCTCGCTGTCCTTGACCTCGCTGATCTTATGCTCGGTGTTAAGAGTGATGCCAAGCCTCTTGGACTTCTTGCAATACTGATCGAAGGTCTGAGGATCCTTCCTGAGACCATGTGTGGTGCGGTGAGAGAACTTGATCGAGCAGGCCTTCTTGTCGATAGAGAAGAGCTGGAGGGCGTCTTGCTTCTTCTCGAGTGATGTAAGGAGCTTTCGAAAATTGGTGAAGTTTAGGTCCTCGATGTTCACGTAAATCGTGACTTGTTCGTTCAGAACGTATCTTTGAAGCGCTTCGAGGTAGCAGGAAGCTGCATTTGGCGACTGCCATGCAAGAGAGAGTTTGCTCGCGACACTGAGGCCTGCACCCGACGACTTTTTACGGAAGTGCGCGAAGCATGCAAGAGGCTTCGAGGTGACGACTGGCTTCGAGCCGCCTTCATTGAGCTCGATGCAGATGGCGTGGCTGAAAATTTCAATGAGAATCTCAGGTGCTGGCTCCTCGAGCATGTTGCGGCCGTTTGCAAGGGGAACTGATGGATCCATAATGGGCGATGTCGTTGCGGTTGGTGCGCGCAGTGTCTGTAATGCAGGAGAGTTGTGGAAGTCGGATGTCGAAGTTGATGCGAAGCTGTCTGAGAAATTATGCTAGCGGTGCGGGTCATGGACTAGGCTGCCCAATATGGCTCGGGCCGAGAGCGCTGACGCGAAGTGAAGTCTGAAGGCCGTCATGTGAAAGTGGATACCTGCAGCAGAAGTGACCGTATTTACGACAAAAGTGAGCATATTTGCGTACCGTTCTGTGTGATCGTGGTGCTGGATATCAAGCGTTGGAGTTTCCACGCGTCTGATAGATGCCATTCATAAGGCCCGGAAGTATTCTCACGTGGTCCTCATCACCTCTGTGTAATTGGGAAGTGATTCCTTGCTTCGCTCATCGATGTAACTGTTGCCGCCGAAACCTCTTTCCTTAAGAAGCGGAACAAGACCTCGCATTCACGGCTCTTATTTGATATTATGCTGCCCTCAAATGCCATGTTTATTGTGCTGAATATGTTGATGCCATCGCTTCTGTCGGTCGTCAAGTTGAGATGAAGTCAACAGGGGCAGGGCTTGTTGGACTTGGCTTGGCTCACGGACGAAACAGGGTCCCTCGGTCGATCGCAGTTGCCAGGTCTGCCTAGGCTGGCGTCAGTTACCTTACATGTACACCCTGATTAAGCGAGATGGCGAAAGGGGGTGATCCCTGAAAATGGGATCTAACTGGTCAAAGCTAGCGTACTGCCTAAAGGAATTATCCGCCCCTTTAAAAAGTTCACGTCTAACGTTTTCAGGCTTCAGCTAGCTGCCGTTTACGGGGATTACCCCCGTCCGCCATCTCGCTTAATCCGGGTGTAGTTTGCCCGGGTATTGCGGAGTATGCATGGCATGAGTGCATTGCGCAGACGATGACATAGCAGTACGGAGATACTCTCGTTCAATGATTTCTCGAACAGATTCAATTTTCTGTATTGACATCGCCTACTAGGTCATTTCGGAATCGGGTTCCAGATAGAGACAATGGCTACGCGCAGGCTGGGTAGCTGTTATCTGACAACTATTATTAGACTATCCGGCTGATGTGTGACCAGTACGACCAGCGCTCTTGTGAGGCCATGCTCGAATCCTTCTTTGTTCGATGGAGCCACGGCTGATAGCTCACCAGTATTTGCGATCTCCAAGAGAAATTCGCCAAAGCGATATACGAGTATCCGAAAGTGATTCAGACCACACAGAAGTTGTTAAAAGCAAGTCAAATACTAGATTGGCCAGTGTTCGCCACGACGCAGTTGCGGGCAAAGCTGGGAGAGTCCTCTGCTGAGCTGGGCTTGGACAGCCCAGGTGGCGTGCAGACAAAGGTCCATGCAGATAAGAGTGCTTTCAGCATGTGGACGCCAGAGGTGCAGACGGCGTTCAAAGATCTCGGCAGTGAGAAGCGTGAGTGCATAATCGTGGGAATTGAATCGCATGTGCGTGTTGCAAGACAACAGGGATCACTGTATCATGTTACTTGTCTGATTGATCCTCTAGATTTGTGTGACCCAGACCACCTTGGATCTTCTCCGTGAAGGCCATAGGGTTTATATCATTGCAGACGCAGTCTCGTCTTGCAATGCGCAGGAGATTCCGATTGCTCTCCGAAGACTTGCGGGTGAGGGAGCGGTGGTCACGAGCTCTGAGAGCTTCATGTACGAGTGCATGGGCGACGCATCGATTCCAGAATTCAAGCAGATGTCAAGTCTGGTGAAAGAATACTCTTCCAAGACGAAGGAGAGCCTGCAGGCACTGTGCAAGTTCTAGAAGGCGCACGGTGTTCCCGCCTTGCCGCATGCGAAGATGCAGGATGTATATAACAGCATTGGTCGTCAATGCATCAGCCACGAGAGACTTGATGTAACTGATGTATTAGGAAGAAGGACTAATCTATGTAGAAGTCCGAAGATGAAGTGCAGCAGTTGCAGCCTCAGGCATCAGGCACGTGATGGACCCTGACACCTGGACACACACTCCAAGTCCGGGCTCATAACCACTTGATGTAACTGATGTATTAGGAAGAAGGACTAATCTATGTAGAAGTCCGAAGATGAAGTGCAGCAGTTGCAGCCTCAGGCATCAGGCACGTAATAGACCCTAACACCTAGACATATACTCTAAGTTACCCCCTTAGTACGTATATATCGCTATAGAATAAAACAAACACATTAGCTATTCAGTTAGCAAAGCAAATAGGAGGGTATTAGGTAAGCAGAAACAGGTAAACAAACTAGACTACTCTTAGGTCAAACAGATAAAGCAAACAAAGGCCCTTTCTTCTTAGTACTTAGCAGCTAGCTTTATAGCGCTCTTAATAGCGGCCTTGCAATCTGCTAGGTTCAGTTGTTTAACAAAGCGGCCGTGCTTAACCTTGTTAAGCGGCTTAGTAAAGCTATCGGCTATCTAATTATATATGCTAACCTATTAGACTATAATAGAACTATTAGCAATCTTCTCTCGGATATAGTAGACTCGAGTATCTATATACTTCGTGCGGCTATTAATGCTAGTCGACTTAGTAATAGCAATAGCGGACTAATTGTCCTCGTAGAGCGTAACTAGAAGAATATAGCCCTTATAGCTAATTTCCTTTAATAAACGAGCTAAGGCAACTACTTCCTTAGCCCCTATAGTAAGTTAGATATACTTAGCTTTAGTTAACGACAGTGTAACAAGCGTCTAGCGGCCGGACTTATACAACAGAGGTCCGCCTGCGATAGTAAAGTAGAAACCTCCTATAGAGCGACGAGTAACTAGGTTATCGGCCTATAAGGCATTATAGTATCTAGCAAAATTAAGCTTATCGTTCTATATGCCTTAGAAGCGTATACTACGACTAAGGGTACTAACTAGGTACTTAATTAGCCAAAGGAGCGCGGTATAATGCTCTTTAGCAGAGTTAGAGATAAATCGTAATAATAGGCCCGTAGTATAGCAAGCATTAGGTCGTGTAATTATAGCTAGCTATAGCGCCTCGCTAACACCTTCTTAATACTAAGTCTTAAAGGCGGCACTAGCTATATAGCCCTTAGGTGCGCGTTAAATAGACGTCTTAATATAGCGAGGTGCTATTAGAGTAGCTAGACCGATACGGCTACGCATACTATATTTCTTACTAAGCCTATTTAGATAGGCATCCTAAACAACATAGATAGTGCGCTAGTTGCGGTTACGGATAATCCGTATGCCGAGATAGTAGTGCAGGTTACTAAGTTCTCGCATATTAAATCGGTCCTTTAGCATCTAAGCAACGGCTTCTAGTGCTAATAGGCTATAGGCGATAATAATTATATTATCGACGTAGATAACGATAATCGAGCCGCTAACAACGTGTTTGAATACATACACGTCAGTTATTATTAGTACAAAGTCTAGGCTCTTTAAGTACTTCCGAAGCTCTTTATACTATAGCATTAGTAACTGCTTTAGACTATATAGTGCCTTTAGCAATAGGCAAACTATACCCTTACTACTACGGTCCTTAAAACCGTATAGCTGTTTAACGTAGATCTTGTGCTTATCGCTAATTAGGGCATTAAGGAAGGCTGTTAGAATATCGTATTGCTTAGCCTCTAGGTCGTAATAAGCAATTAGGCTAAATAGGGCTCGAAGCGTATAGGGCTTAGTAATAGCCGTATAGGTCTTATTATAATCCTGTCCTTCGACCTGTATAAAGCTACGGACGACCTATCGAGCCTTAAACCGGCTTACCTTACTATTAGCGTTACGCTTAATAGTAAAGACCTATCGACTATGAATAACCTTCCTACCTTTAGGCACTTCTAGTCGAGAAACGTGTACCTACGTATAGTTGTCGATTAGTAACTTGTATTTAGCCTTATAGGCTTCCTTCTATTATAGCTAATATAGTAACTAAGTCGCCTCCTTATAGCTCTTCGGAATAGGAATAGTCTCTTTAGGCTTATTAGACTGTTTAGCAATATAATAGGAAGCTATAAAACCCTTAATATAGGCTATCGGCATATTAGCTATTGTCCGTCGAGTTAACCGCTTAATACTATAATTAGCTAGATAGCTACGTAATAGGTTACGAGCCGACTTATTGCTCCGTATCTTACGCGTAGAGCGATTACTAACAGCTTCGGCTAGTCGCTTAAACTTAGGCAACTCGCCTAGCTCGCCCTTCTTAGCGTTTAGATTATATGCTAGCTTTTCCTCGGCGGACTAAAAGCTATCTTTATTACTTAAAGCTAGTAGTTAAACTAGTTGAACGTCTAGAAGGTCGTTATCGATTAGTAACGGATTAGCGACCTTATCGGCTATTTCCTATATAGGTCCTTATATAGGCTATTCTTCTTACTAAGCTAGAAGCCGCTAGACTATACTAGCAGCCTCGGTAGGCGACGGAGCCTCGTTACTTGTAGAATTAAACAAAGCCGGTATAATAGACTTAAGGGTAACAAACTCGTTCTTAGACAAGTCGTTAGTGTTAGTATATAGCTTTATACTATCTAGAAACGACAACTTGTCGTCCCCTAATTTAATAAACTAGATATCCTTCGAGGTAACAACCTTATATTCGTTAGACAAGTAGATTATGTATTTACTAGAGTCTACTAAGTCCTTCGTATAACTAACTAGTTTGCTAAGCTTTCTACGAGCGTTAAACTTCTTGCTACGAGCTATACTATAGTCGTAGATAATAGTAGTATAGCTATAGGCTCGAAGGTGCTAAAGGCGTAGCTGCTTTCGAGACTAATTAAGCTCCCTAGCTACAATAGTATAGGGGCTAAGACCTTCTAGGGTTCTAGGTATAATATTAAGGACCTATATAGCGGAGGCAATAGTACATAGCTATAGAGACTTTAGAAGGTTAGCCTATAGTATTATCTTTCTCGCAGTCGTACACACGATATAATTACTAACCTTAGCAAGGCTATTCTAAGTTAATAAATAAGGTGCAGTAACTTACAGTACAATGCCCTCGCCTCGAGCCTAATTTAATAGCTAATTTCCGCCGTATTTACTCCCTCTATCGAGGCGGTAGATTAGGATTGAGTAACTAGTCTATATACGGATATGTATACGATAGTCCTTAATAGCTACTATAGCCCCTAACTTGAGCGTGCTAGTATACTCGTATCGATAGCCTAACTTAGCGTACGTAAACAGTGTAAAATAGCGCTCCTATAATAGGCTAGGATTAGTAATAGTAACTATATCTATACAGACAATGTAATAGATCGTAGATAGTCGTACGCGTAGTAGCCGATTGTATTCCTTATATAACATAGCTATACGATAGGCAATGCAGTTGCGGAAGTCCTTCTTAGCACTAGTAATAACAATTTGACCCTTAGATTCCATCCTTAGTAGCTTGCGGTAATGAATATAGCTATATCGCAGATGCCACTTATCTATAGTGCCTATAGGCACCCCCTTCTTAGGCACCCCCTTCTTTAATATAAGGGCAACTACCTTACTATCTAGACTAGAGGTTAGTATATAAAGGTAGGGAAGACTATTCTTACGGTATGTCTAAGCGATAGTAACCTTATTGCCCTCTACCATCGTAAACAGGATACGCTTATTATTTCGGTAGAAACAACCCTTATCGGCAAGCTTCTTAGTAGACAGAAGGTTAGCTACTAGACCTAGAATATATAGTATATTAGACAGCTTTATGCTGCTTATACTACGCTTATTAACAACCTTAGTCTAAGCTATACTATAAGAAGGGTATATTAGCAGGTAGATAGGGTAGTAGTAGGTACGAGTAGTATTCGATAAGGATCTAGAAGGAGAGGGAGGAAGGCAGGCAAGTTGGCCTAACGCCAAGCGCCAAGCCCTGCCTAAGGCACCGAGACCCCGGCTTCACTCGGCCTAACTACATGCTAATTACGTGTAGCCTCTTTAGCCCTAATATACGCTTCCCTTCTAAAGGCCGCGCCCTTGTAGCCTATCAATTTCGACATCCATTGCTACTAACTTAGCAAGTTAAATAGACTGCTTAGCTCGCGCTGAATTAAACACTTAACTACCTAATTATATAACTATATTAAACCTTACTTTCTAATACAACGTCTAACTCTAACTGCGCTATCCTTGTATATAATAAAGTAAAGGGATATAAAGCTATAAGAATTAAGGGCTATCGACCAATTACAACACGAGCGCGTCTTCCCTACTATAATAGGTAGACGTACGAGGTATTGCAGCCCTGCCTCCGCTCTAAGTAATGTCGTACCGAGTTCTTTGCGTCTACTCTTAAAAGACCTAGCTATGTCCGCTTCCGAGGGTTGTTCTTATTGTTACGAGGGCCATTGTTTACTATCGTAGTTTTACTAGCCTAAATTAGTTAGGTTTAGCAGCCTTTAAGTGTTAACTAATTATATCTTTTTAAAAAACTCAGTTCTTCTAGTTTCTATAGGTGAAGGCTATTGTAAGTGCAGTAGTAGAGGTTCGCCTCGCTTAAAGGGTCGGAAGATCGAGGAGTAACCTATTGTCCGCAAGATCGACCCCGGCTAGCTTAGCTCTATAGTTTTGCCCTTAGTTAGTTAGTCTATTAGTCGCTCAATCTTTTAAGCGGCTTAAAGTCTTAATCAAAGTTTTAATCAAACCTTTAACATAGCTATTCTTTTTAACTTAGCCGGTAGGGTGCGTTCTAGCTCGTAGTATAGGTAAGGTTACGTCTATAGGCGCAGCGACAATAGCAAGTAATATTAGCAATAGCGGCGCTAGTCGTCTTAGCGCTAACTTTACCTTGTTTTAATTTCCTTCTTTAACTAACAACACACTCCGTAACA